CACGGCCCCCGGCCGCTTGCGGAGGGACTGGTGCTCGACCCCTCGCCCGGAGCCAGCTGCCGGGCGGTGCGGGGGCGGCCGCAGAGCGTCCCGGCTTCGGCGAGAGGAGCGCACGGAGCTGTGGTTTCCCTAGTGCTGCTCGGCTGGCTGTGTCCAACGGAGCCGCGACACACTTGGCTTCCCCAACGGGTCGCTGAAAAAGCAATCCAGGATAACTGGATAGCCTGAAATTCCTCAGCGTCTGTCTTGGGGCTGGTTTAGGTTTCTTGCATTTAAACCTGCTTGTTAACAAATGGGTTGGAAGGGACTTTGCAGTTGCCGTGGCTCGTCGCTGGCGTTTTGGAGAACGCTAAGCCAAATAACGTGCTCTCCTCTTGACCGGGCACAAGCTTAGCAGAAGTCAGGACGTTCTTATTAGAGGACAGTAGCTGCCAACAAACCTGCAATCGAATGTCAAAATTGTTGGTACTGGTAGTGAGATCATCTGGATGTTTAATTACTGCTCTTGAGCTCCCTGAAGGCCTGCCTGAACTAGCCAAAAAGTCTTGAGGGAGCAGGGAAGGGCTTAACGCAGGACTGGAAGTCTGAATCTGCTCCCTGTGGAGCTCTCAAAGGAGACCTGGGCAGCATGAAGCTCCAGGGTGGTGCTAAGAGAGCGGCTCGTGGGCAGGAGTACAGGCTTGTAGACTGTCCTACTTGCAGAGCTTCTTCAAGTCATCAGCCCTTTTCCCCTTAGGTGCCTTCTGGGCACCGCTGCCTCAGGGTAGACCTTGCTGTTGGGTAACTGAAGAAATATTGCCGTTCTTCCCACGCAAGCCGTCATGGGAACATTATGGGGAGGATAAATGGAAATACCTTCTGTGGAAGAGACCAAGGTCACCTTGAAGTACTGACTTCAATTCCTTTTTGCTTTTCATTTAGTGAATTCCCAGAGCCCTTATCAGAAGATTTGAGTGAGTTAATGGTTGCCAGATCGTCTAATACTTAGTCTCCCTTGGGAAGAAGGGGTGGAGTTGCACCCCGTGTTGCACAATATGACATGGGAAATCTGGGACAAAGCTGGAAACCTGCTCCAGGTCCTCAGCTCTAGTGTGCATGGAAACTAAATAATTGCTCACAAAATGATTAAAATAATTTAGACTCATGTAAATGCACAAAAGAACATGCGTGTGAGGATGGTGAGAGGAAAAGACAGTAGTTCTTGTACCAAGTACCGTTTACATTTTGGAAAGCGTACAAAGTGGAAAAGAATCTCTTCTTTTTTTTTTCTCCCCACCCCCCCCCACCCCCCCCATCCATCCCATCCCATCCCATC